GCAGGCTAGCTCTGGTAGCCTAGTGGCAAGAAGCTGCAACTGCAGTCTCAGAGATGCATGGTTCAAATCCACCAGATGCTCTGCTGGAGAAGGAGGAACAATCTCCTCCTGTACCAGTCAGATCTGATTTGACGGTACACACACACACAAAATAATGAAATAAAATAAATTTTAAAAAAAAGAGAAAGAAAGAGAGGAGCAAACTGGGGGGGTGGGGGAAAGGGCTGGGCGGGTAGAGAAGTGCAGCAGTGAATGAATGGAAATCCAAGTTCTCTGTAAATGTTCATTAAAATCATTTAAAAAAATTTTTTTTAAAAAGAGACCTGGAGAAATGGAAGGATATACCTTTCTCTGGATAATGGTAATGACATGTCTTATCAGGGATTTATATCTAGAATTTACAGAATACTCGAGCACCACAACAAGATAAACAACCCAACTGCAAAATGGGCAAAGGATATGACCAGACACTTCACCAAAGAAGACATTCAGATGGCCAAAAAACATGAAGAAATGTTCAAAAACCCTAGCTCTAAGAGAGATGCAAATCAGAACAACTATGAGATATTATCTCACCCCAGTAAGAACAGCAAAATTCAACAGAGCAGCAAACAAATGCTGGTGAGTTTGTGAAGAAACTGGAACCCTTATTCACTGCTGATGGGAGTGTAAAATGGTGCAACCACTATGGAAGGCAGTATGGCACTTTCTCAAAAAGTTGGAAATAGATGTACCATTCGTCCCAGCAATTCCACTACTGGGAATATACCCTAAAGAAACCCTAACTGCCACCAAAGCAGATACATGCACATCCATGTTTATTGTTGCTTTGTTCACAACAGCAAAGAGATGGAAACAACCTGAGTGCCCATCAACAAAGGAATGGATAGAGAAACTGAGGTATATTCACACACTGGAGTACTATGCTGCATTGAAAAACAAGGAACTCATGAAATATTATAAAAAATGGGTGACCCTGGAAGACACTATGCTGAATGAAATATCAGTCACAAAAGGACAAATACTGCATAATGCCACTGTTATAAAACAGGATTGACATCGGGGCTGGTGGGAATCTAAGAAAAGAGGGGGTAAAGAATGTACACAGCATTGAAACAGATGAGGGAGAGAATTGTTTAAAGAAATGTATGAGTAGGTATTATTTGCATGACAAGAGTGCAGAATAAGAGCTGCATATTAAAGTGGACTGGGGATTGTTTAACAATGAAAGAATCTTTTTTCCAAAGAAAAATAACATACTGAGGGGGAGGAGTGGGCAAAGAGGAAAATATGCAACAATGAATGAATGGAAATCCAAGTTCTCTATAAACTTTCATTAAAATCTCAATTTTAAAAAAAAGTCCAGATGTTTAGTCTGAAGGTTATAGGAAAAAACTCCTGGAAAGTAACCAAGATAGCCAGAAATAGGGAACATCTCTTACTCCCCATCTGTCAGATCCAGAGAAAACAGGTCTTTGAGAGCAGGCCACTAATACAACTGTACAGCTAAAGAAAAGAAAAAGATTTTCCATTTTAGAGAAACACAGATCAGAGAGAAAGTAGGGTAAAGATACACACACATGTATCTTTAGAGACCACTCAAATTTTGAGTAGATGAAATAAAAACTAAACCAGTTGCCATCAAGTGGATTGTAACTTGAGAACAACATTATGTGCGAGTAGAATTGTGCTCTATAGGGTTTTCAATGGCTAACATAAAAATGTGTATCGCAGGGAGCTTGGGGGCCTAGTGGCAAGAAGCTCTACTGCAATCCCAGACGTGTGCAGTTTGAATCCACCAGATGCTCTGCTGGAGAATGAGGAACACTCTCCTCCTGTACCAGTCAGATCCAATTTGACAGTACACACACAAAAAAAAATAATAAAAAAATAAAATTTAAGAAAGTGTATCGCCAGGCCTTCCTTCTGAGGCACCTCAGATAGATTCGAATGATCAACCTTTCAGTTAGCAGCCAAGCAAAGAGGGATATAAATCTTAAATACAGACTCACTAAAAGAAAGGTAAAACTCAAATCATAGAGAGCAGAGAAGGTAGGCTGAGAAATGAACACCCATTCACAGCAACAGAAAAGGCCTGCTCTGCCAACCATTTTCAAGCCCAGAACTCCCTAGCTTTCTTCAAACAAAGGGAGTCCCAGCATGGTAGCTTGTCTATAAATATATGTGCTACAGAGGAACCTTGTAAAAAGTTCAGGCTATTCTGCTGGAAGAGTGGATAGCTGAGTGAGTTAAAGAATATTCCGTTCAAATGAGACTTCAGATGACTCCAGTTCCAGCTGCCATCTGACTGTAACCACCCCACAGTTTCAGAAATATCACCTAATTGAGCCCAGTCAATCGGCAGGGCTATGAAAACAATAAATTGTTGTTTTAAACCATCAAGTTTCAAGTTGGTTTGTTTTAACAAACACAACACTATAGATAACCAAAGACTTTAAAAAAAAAAAGACTGCTGCTGCCTTTTAAGACTTGTGACACTCATATCTCCATCTCTTCCCATAACAAAATCAACAAGAGCCAGTCAAATTTCTACTCTCTTTAATTAGGTGCTTTTGAGGATAAGGTAGAAAGGCAGGCAGTGGGATAATGAGGGTGGTGCTTCCTGAGCTCCACTTGGCAACCAGTTAGTCCTTTTCCTCTGGCAGTTGGATCTTGCTGGGGTCAAAGCAATTGGATTCCATGATAGGGAGACCATTGGCTTCTCGGTACTTCACAAGCCTCTCAGCCTCCCTGCGGGCCCACTCACGCATCCTGGAGAAAGCAGCATTTTGGGTAGATGTAAGGGAGCCTCATTAGACACTTGGTCCCAGTTTAGTTCTCCATTCCCCAGCAGTGCACGGTAAAATTCTCTTCAACTTCCACGCTTGCCTCTGCCCCTTACCCATTCCACTCCCTTGGACCCCTCACACACCTGTAATCAGGTAGGTAAGCCACAAAGGTGCTGCCAAGGACTAGGACAACGGAAAAGCCAAAGAAGAAAACAATGCGCATGTTCCAGAGGTCCACAACAGGATCCTTGTCATAACCATGGGAGTCTGGGTTCTGTGACAAGGAGAAAGAATATCAATAAGGGTTTCCTGCTGCTCCACAAAGTCTCATGCTGGTCCTATATAACCTGGTTTCTGACCTCACTTCAGACCTACCTCTCCTCTTTCACAGCATTCTCCTCTAAGAACATGGTAAACTCCTTCCCACCATAGGGCCTTTGTACTTGGCTATTCTATCCCATGGAAACCTTTCCCTGGAATCTGGTCATGGCTGGTTCTTCTTCATTCAGGGATTCAGCTCAATCATCACTTCCTTTAAGTGGCTTCCCTAGCCATCCTGTCTATTAAGTTGAAGCATAGGAAATTGCTGTTTTTATAGGTCAAAATGGTTGAAATATTGGTAATTACCTATGGTTCTAACTAATAACACCTTATTTCTAAATAACTATCACCATATCCTGTTTAACTAGCACTTATCATTTTAAATTTTATTAGTTTACCAAAGTAGTATGCCCTCAGATCCTCTTTATCATATTACATTATTATCTCTTCATTGTATCTAGAGGCGCTCTGGCAGTTGTCATAACAAGTTGTGCTGATAACTCAAAAGTCAGATTTCTACAGTTATTTGTATCCACTAGCAGCTCCAAGGAAGAAGGATGGACAGTCTCTTCTCATTACCATTTATAGGCTTGGAAATTCAATGGATGGCAGTGAGTTTATTTCATCTTTTATGCTATATTATCTCTATATATCCTATATGTATATCTCCTAATATTTTCCATGTTTATTCACTGTCTTCCCCACTATTATTTAAGGTCTATGAGAGTTTGTGATTTCCACAAAGCTGTATCCATAGAAGCTAAACTGTGTCTGTCATAGAGCAGGCCTAAGCCCTCCAACCAGAGATTAATAAGGTCCCTATTGTGCTGTGATGAAAGACAACTGCCCAGTTATGACAATGACCAATAGATTCAATGTTAAAGCCCACTGATGCTTTCTTGCTCCACCACCATCTCTTCTTCCTTTTGCCTACACCATTCAATACCCATCTCCCATTGACCAGCCCCTGATGTGATGGCCTAAGTCTCAAGCCATCAGGATTTCTGTGATTCTGATC